ATTTATCTCAGGAAAACGAAATATTATCTCAGGAAAACGAGAATTTATCTCAGGAAAACGAAATATTATCTCAGGAAAACGAGAATTTATCTCAGGAAAACGAAATATTATCTCAGGAAAACGAGAATTTATCTCAGGAAAACGAGAATTTATCTCAGGAAAACGAAAAATTATCTCAGGAAAACGAGAATTTATCTCAGGAAAACGGGAATTATCTCAGGAAAACGAAATATTATCTCAGGAAAACGAGAATTTATCTCAGGAAAACGAAATATTATCTCAGGAAAACGAGAATTTATCTCAGGAAAACGAAATATTATCTCAGGAAAACGAGAATTTATCTCAGGAAAACGGGAATTATCTCAGGAAAACGAAATATTATCTCAGGAAAACGAGAATTTATCTCAGGAAAACGAAAAATTATCTCAGGAAAACGAGAATTTATCTCAGGAAAACGAAATATTATCTCAGGAAAACGAGAATTTATCTCAGGAAAACGAAATATTATCTCAGGAAAACGAGAATTTATCTCAGGAAAACGAGAATTTATCTCAGGAAAACGAAAAATTATCTCAGGAAAACGAGAATTTATCTCAGGAAAACGGGAATTATCTCAGGAAAACGAAATATTATCTCAGGAAAACGAGAATTTATCTCAGGAAAACGAAATATTATCTCAGGAAAACGAGAATTTATCTCAGGAAAACGAAATATTATCTCAGGAAAACGAGAATTTATCTCAGGAAAACGGGAATTATCTCAGGAAAACGAAATATTATCTCAGGAAAACGAGAATTTATCTCAGGAAAACGAAAAATTATCTCAGGAAAACGAGAATTTATCTCAGGAAAACGAAATATTATCTCAGGAAAACGAGAATTTATCTCAGGAAAACGAAATATTATCTCAGGAAAACGAGAATTTATCTCAGGAAAACGGGAATTATCTCAGGAAAACGAAATATTATCTCAGGAAAACGAGAATTTATCTCAGGAAAACGAAAAATTATCTCAGGAAAACGAGAATTTATCTCAGGAAAACGGGAATTATCTCAGGAAAACGAAATATTATCTCAGGAAAACGAGAATTTATCTCAGGAAAACGAAAAATTATCTCAGGAAAACGAGAATTTATCTCAGGAAAACGGGAATTATCTCAGGAAAACAAAATATTATCTCAGGAAAACGAGAATTTATCTCAGGAAAACGAAAAATTATCTCAGGAAAACAAGAATTTATCTCAGGAAAACGAAAAATTATCTCAGGAAAACGAGAATTTATCTCAGGAAAACGGGAATTATCTCAGGAAAACGAAATATTATCTCAGGAAAACGAGATTTTATCTCAGGAAAACGAAAAATTATCTCAGGAAAACGAGAATTTATCTCAGGAAAACGAAAAATTATCTCAGGAAAACGAGAATTTATCTCAGGAAAACGGGAATTATCTCAGGAAAACGAAATATTATCTCAGGAAAACGAGAATTTATCTCAGGAAAACGAAAAATTATCTCAGGAAAACGAGAATTTATCTCAGGAAAACGAAAAATTATCTCAGGAAAACGAGAATTTATCTCAGGAAAACGAGAAAAAAAAAATTCTCCATGTCACTTCCGGGGCTCCGTAGTCGAAGGTGGCGTTATCAACAAACTCATAATTATGCTCACAAGCCCAGCTTAATGATCACGCCATCATCGGCTGGTAGCAAGTAAGTAGGGAGAGGTAGTGTTGGTGTGGTGGAGATCAAAATTAAATAGGCCAGAATCTGGACTAGTGTCAACGAGGCAATACTGTAGGCATTACTTTGGCGCAAGTCGATTTTTGTACTCTCACAAACAATGCCTCCTGTTCATCCAAGCGTGAACACATACCACACACAAATGATACCAAATGATTTGGGATAAAACACTTTTTCATAAGATGTATAATGATTTACTGTTCAAAGATGATTTTAAAAATGACTAGCAATTTTCTAGGTGTAAACTTTTTTTTGACTCACACGGTATGTACATTTGACCTTGTATCAAGAACAAGGATAACAGTAAAGATATAATTTGAAGATATATTATGAGGGTGCTGAAGCACTTAGAGTAGAGATTTGGAATTCATTATTGTTTAGTTCATTGTTTATTCAAGCCATAATTAAGTCTAGTTGAGACACTTGTAGCGCGAGTCTATATTTATGTAAAGCCATAATGCAGATGGGACTAAAATAGTGACTGGGGTTATTTTAATAGGTTATGAAGATCATGACACAATGTACATTATTTTATGAGTTTCTCAAAGAGACTGTGTTATTGCCATATTGATGATGCTATGATGTACTTATATTTAAGATTCTTTTTCTGTGATTTATCCACAGTTTTCACGGAATAAAACGGAATGAATTGGAATGGAATGAAGTGGTTACTCCAATTAAAGCTACAAATTCCCGTAGAAACCTATGTTCAGACGTGTTTATTTATTATCAACCTCGCTGTAGCCACATGTACCATTTTTCAATAACAACATTAATTTGTCTCTATATTTTCCCTTTCATTCTAAAACGATTATTTTGAGTAAAATGTCCAATAAAACAGGGTTTATTTTAAGAATAACATTGTCTGACAAATATCCAACATCTAATAACCATATACATTATATATAATTGGCCAAAATCATGGACCGTGAAGAAAGATCGGAGCAAATAGAAATGAGATCTAGATCAATAAATATATACCCTACAAATAGGCTTTTTTCTTCGATAATCGTAAATGATTATCATTTATCATTTGTACAGCGTATACAATCTTTTAAAGGGATCCGGTAACTTTGTTTCAGATTCTGAAACAAAATTCTGGATTTAGCTCATGCTGCAATGATAATTATAAACCTTTAGGTCAGTCAGGAGGCCGATGAGTTTTAAAATCCCATCGCCTCTCTAATTATCAAGATATTTATGATTGAAATTACAAATTTTGAAAACCGTTTGCCAAACGGTTTTCATAACACTACAGTCTATTGGGGAAAACGATTATGGTAAAACCGGTCACTCAAAGATTTTTACTTTTTTGAGGCACTCCTTGATCATTTTGAAGCGCAATTTTGTTAGGACTTCAATATTATACCATATCACAGACAGTGATAACACGTAGTGCCGTGTATCTCAGATTTAACATTGTTAAACGATCCCTTTAAAAGCTCTTGAGAAAAAATGATGACACATTATATTTGAACTTATTTTAATCAGTTACTATTATTTGAAATAACAAATTATTAGTAGGAAAATACTTTCTGATAAGTTGCAATTGATATCCCTTTTCTCTCTGTTTGGCTTTGAAATTAATCTTTATTTTCAAGATTTCTTGTCTTTATTATCAATTAAAATGTTCTACATTTAACAATAATATTCACAGACGTCATGTCTGAAACTACTCCGCTCAATTGGTTATCAAAGCAAAATGAATCATTGAAATATAACTTCCAAAATAAGAAAAATAAATGGAAATCCATAGAGTACCCAGGATTTTATAAAGATTACAGCATTATAAGCTTTTTTTTTCGAATTCCATTTTACTGTATCTTCATATCGCATTCTGTTTGAACATTTTAGAATGTTAACCTCGTGGAATTGTTCAGAAAAATGAATGAAAAGTGAATTGTACACATAGGACATGTAAGACAGGTCAGCAAAATCAAACACTTATCAAATAAAGATCATAGGATTGGCAGAATAAAACCACTTATCAAATAAAGATTATAGGATTGGCAGAATAAAACCACTTATCAAATAAAGATTATAGGATTGGCAGTATAAAACCACTTATCAAATAAAGATTATAGGATTGGCAGAATAAAACCACTTATCAAATAAAGATTATAGGATTGGCAGAATAAAACCACTTATCAAATAAAGATTATAGGATTGGCAGAATAAAACCACTTATCAAATAAAGATTATAGGATTGGCAGAATAAAACCACTTATCAAATAAAGATCATAGGATTATGTCCCATACTTACCGACTGTGAATGACGATCGAGTGCAGAAGAACAAAAGATAGAATTACAGATAAGTATGGACTTCATGTATAAATCATGTTCCTCATTTGGTAGAGAACGGGAGGGATGATTCGGTTATTAATTCAGTTATTATTTCTTGAGAGTTCGTGTCCTTTATATTAGTTAGTTTTTATGTTAACAATGGCTTAGCAAACACTTGTTCTTATTGTATTGCAAGAATGTCTGTTCGTACCGAAGGACGGCAACACTACTTCTTTTTAGGAGGCTATGAAAATCAGATACAATCCTAAAAGTTTCTTATGAAGATAAAAGTTGTAAATTTAAATCGTAAAACTGAAATGAGAAATGTTATATGATCAATATATGACACCATTTTCCTCTGTCTACATTTTCTTATCTCTTTATAGTGTATCTCCATACATTTAAAAACTAATGTTTTGTGTGAAATGTCCAAATAAAACAGAATTTACTTTAAGAATAACAGTCTCTGACAAATATAGTTGAAGTGTTTGTACTTTGCTTATTTTACTTAGTTTATTGTTGTGTGCTTATAATATTTGATATTTCTTTTTGTTTTGTTTTTCTTTCTTTAATGGGCGATCCAACTTCACAGGTTTTCGCAACCTTCATGGAAAGCCCCGCATATAACCTTTGTAAACATAGTTAAAATTTACCGTTACTTTGTATATTCTGATTTTTATATTGCGAAATAAAATTGAATTGAATTGAATTGAAATAACCAAAATTTAATAACTGTATCGATTATCAAAAACTAGCCAAAATCATGGGGCATGAAGAAAAATGAGAGGAAAAAGAAATGAGATCTTAATCAATAAAAATATATACTGCACAAATAGGTTTTTTCTTTGATAATCGTAAAAAATATCATATTAATTTGTACAGCGCATAACCGTGTTTTAAAAGGTCTTGAAAAAAAAAAGACACCTCATATAGGAACTGACATATCAAATAAATATATAAGGATCTAATTCCATACTTACCTTCTGTGAACGAAGATCAAGGGAAGAAGAAAAAAAATTACATAATATAATACAGACTACATATATAAATCATGTAGGTCTTTTGGTAGAGAACGGGAGGGAAGTTTCGATTAATCATTTCTTATTATACCAATTATAACACTGGGTTAGCAAACACTTGATGAGTATTTGCAATTTGTATGCTTCTTTTATTTCTCAATTTGGTATTAAAATCAATCTTCATTTTCAAGATTTCTTGTCTTTACTATCAATTAAAATGTTCTACATTTAACAATAATATTCACAGACGTCATATAAATGAAAAAAGGAATTGTTCTTTTTGGACATGTAAGACAGGTCAGCAGAATTAAAACACTTATCAAACAGATATTATAGGAGTATGTCCCATACTTACCAGTCACTGTGAAACAAAGATCAAGGGCAGAAGAAAAATAGAATCACAGATAAGTAAAGACTTTATGTATTAATCATGTTCCTCTTTTGGTAGAGAACGGTAGGGAAGTTTCCGTAAATTATTTCGTTATTATTTGTCGAGAGTTCGTGTCCTTTATTTTAGTTAGTTTTCGTTTTAACAATGGCTTAAACACACTTGTTCTTATTGTATTGCAAAAATGTCTGTTCGTACCGAAGGACGGCAACACTACTTCTTTTTAGGAAGCTATGAAAATCAGATACAATCTTAAAAGTTTCTTATGAAGATAAAAGTTGTAAATTTAAATCGTAAAACTGAAATGAGAAATGTTATATTATCAATATATGACACCATTTTCCTCTGTCTACATTTTCTTATCTCTTTATAGTGTATCTCCCTACATTGAAAAACTATTTTGTGTGTGTAAAATGTCCAAAGAAATACAAGATTTACTTTAAGAATAACATTCTCTGACAAATAACCAACATTTAATAGCCATATCGATTATTAAAAAATAGCCTACATCATGGCCCATGAAGAAAAATGAGAGGAAAAAGAAATAAGATCTTGATCAATATACTGTACAAATAGGCTTTTTCTTTGATAATCGTACTCATTAATCAAATTACATTTGTACAGCGCATAACAGTGTTTCAAAAGGTCTTGAAGAAAAAAATGACACCTCATATAGGAACTGACATATCAAATTAATATATTAAGATTAAGTTCCATACTTACGTTCTGTGAACGTAGATCAAGGGAATAAGAAAAAAGAATTACATAATATAATACAGACTACATATATAAATCATATAGCTCTTTTGGTAGAAAATAGGAGGGAAGTTTCGGTTAACCATATCGTTATTATACAAGTTATAACACTGGGTTAGCAAACACTTGTTTTTATTGTTTAGCCACAAACCCTTTCGTTTCGAAGCGCGGTACTGTAACACAATTTCTTTTAAGGAGGATATGGAAATCAGATACATATAAAAATCCTTATGAAGATAAAAGTTGTAAATTTAAATAATAATAATAATAATAATGATAATAATAATAATAATAATAATAATAATAATAATAATGGCCTAATAGTCCACTCCAAATTTTATTAAACCGAAATACTGACTTATGAGAAATGTTATATCAATATGTGATTCCATTTCCCATGTCTACATTTACTTATCTATTTTTCTTGTTTCCATACATTCTAAAACTATTATTTTGTGTAAAATGTTAAAAAAAATTAAGAATAACATTTCCTGAAAACTTAACAACATGTAATGCTACTATATTTTTAATTTACAATTAGGCTGCCTCATGTTTCACCTGAATAACAACGAACTGCCCCAGGCACTATCTTATTTGTTCAAGAAAAGAAATCAAGTCCACGAATATTCTACCCGACAGGCGTTTTCCTATCACCTTCCTAGAACGAGAACAAGCTTTGCTCAAAACACCTTAATATATACAGGTCCTAAGTTCTGGAATTATCTCGTTTCTGTGATTAAAAGGTCTGTAAGTGTACATGTATTCAGAAGAAAATTGAAAAGTTATTATTTGAATACATATTGTCATTCCTGACTATTCTTGTCTCCAAACTGTATACTTTTGTTCATTACAATGAGTAACTAACGGTATGACCATACCAACTATGTTTATAATATACTCATATCGAGAACAAACTATATTGTAATATTGTTTCAATAAGCTTTTCCTTGTCTTTTGTAGTTAATTGTGTGTATCGGTTCATGTATCCCTGTAATCCCCCTTTCCCTGTTTTAGCGTGTATTTGTATTTTATAAACTTTACTTTAGTTAATTATGTCATTTTTAGTTTAAGGAGCCTATCCACAACAAGCTCTGCTTTTCCATAGGCTCCGCCACTTTATCTCTTAAGTTAAACTTAATGGACAATATTCTGAATAGTGGGTACCGGCATTGTATGTACATGTATAAAATAATCATTTTCAATATGTTGTTACACTCTTTGTAAAATGAGATATTGTGGAAACCTATAAACTATCTATATCTATCTATCTATCTATCTATATGTAGTCTATGAATGTGGAACACGTGATCTTGATGACAAAATTTCACTTAAATTGCATAATGATATGAAAAAGGATGTCATTCATTATTAAAACACACTTACAACAGAAAACCCGGACTTTGTATCCTGTCATCAATATTCGTCTTCGAATACATTTTAGGGGTAAATCTCTGCAGGAGTGTATGTTTATAATATCCTCGTTCACATCATTATAGGAGAACAAGGAAAGGTATATAAAATTACTAAAATAATCAGTGGCAAGTATAGAGGAACCACAAATTCACCTATTGAAGACAAACAGGGGAGGCTTCTTACAACAGAAGCAGAACAGGAAGCTAGATGGGCCGAGCACTTTAACGAGGTATTGAATAGACCACCACCGACAGTAGAGGCTGACATACAAGAGGCAGAGGTGGACTTGGATGTCAGCAGCATACCACCAACTAATTTAGTTGGTGGTATGCTGCTGACATCCAAGTCCACCTCTGCCTCTTGTATGTCAGCCTCTTCTTCTTTAAAAGATGAAGTAATAGCTGCAATTAAATCACTAAAAAATGGTAAAGCCCCTGGCTCTGACAATCTCAACGCAGAACTTTTTAAGGCGGACCCAGAATTAGCAGCAAAAATTCTTTTGCCACTCTTCACAGCTATATGGGAAAGGAAGGCAGTTCCTGGCGATTGGTCAGAGGGAGTTATCATAAAATTACCAAAGAAGGGATCCCGAAAAACTGCAATAACTGGCGTGGCATCACTCTATTGTCAATACCAAGCAAAATATTGGCAAAGATAATTATTACACGTATCATAGATGCTGTTGACCAAAATCTCAGAAGGGAACAGGCAGGTTTTCGGAAGGGAAAAGGGTGCACTGACCAGATATTTGCACTTCGTAACATCATAGAGCAATGCACAGAATGGCAGAGGAAACTTTATATTAATTTTGTTGACTTTGAAAAAGCATTCGATAGCATCCACCGAGACAGCCTTTGGAAAATACTACGCAAATATGGGATACCAGAGCAGCTAGTTCTTGTAATTAAGAGCTTTTACACCAATTTCACATGCAGAGTTGGAAACAGTAACCATAAGTTCCAAGTGAAGACTGGAGTTAGGCAAGGGTGTGTCATGTCGGCACTGCTCTTCAATATCGCCATAGACTGGGTGATGAGACAGGCAACTGAAGACCAAAAAAGAGGCATAAGATGGACCCTCTTTTCTACACTTGAGGACCTCGACTTTGCAGATGATCTCGCTCTACTTTCACACACCCACCAGCATATGCAGGAAAAAACATCCAGACTCAGTGATTTTGCCCAGCAAATTGGCTTGAAGATCAGCCAAAAGAAAACAGAGGTGATGACCCTGAACATCTCGGATCCTTTACCAATTCAAGCAAACGGGGAAGACCTACCTATAACTGAGGAGTTTACTTACCTGGGCAGCACTGTCAGGCAAAATGGAGGCGCAGGTAAAGACATTAAGAACCGTCTGAATAAAGCCAGAAATGCACTCAGAATGCTCAATAATATATGGAGATCGCAGCAGTACAGCACCAAGACCAAGCTAAAATTGTACCAGAGCTGTGTCCTTTCCACTCTCCTGTACGGCTCTGAATGTTGGAGAATGACTAAAAACGACCTTAGCAAGCTATCAGTCTTCCACACAAAGAGTCTTAGAAGAATATGCCGCATTTTCTGGCCAAACACCATCTCAAATGAAGCACTGTATGCCCAATGCCATCAAGACAGCATGGAGAGCATCATCACGAGAAGAAGGTGGAGATGGATCGGGCATGTAATGAGAAAGGACAGAGATGACATCATACGAACAGCCTTCGTAACATCATAAGGCTGTTCACACGAACAGCCTTTCTTTTGCCTTCTGGACACCAGAAGGCAAAAGAAAGAGGGGACGTCCAAAAACCACTTGGCGAAGAACTGTGGAAGGAGAGATTAAAGACCTGAACCACACATGAGATACAATCCAAAGACTGGCCCAGGATCGGAAGGAGTGGAAGACTTTTGTTGCTGCCCTATGTGCCAGGAGGCATAATGGGCAGTAAGTAAGTACATCATTATAGAATTGAAGTGACATTTTGCGATCACATTTTTGGAATTTGAGGCCCCCAACGCTTTAGAGGGGCTTTAAATGTCTCATTATTGTTAAAAATCATTAATTGATAACACGTAATTATTAAGTATAATTTAAAGGACAATACTTATATTTAATTAGCTTGTTTCTGACTTCGACACCTGTATTTGCTTATGTAATTTGAACAGTATATGGTTAACTACCTTTACAGCGTTGATGAGAAGGATACCTTTGTAAAATAATTCGACGTTTGTGAAATGTTTGTTTGGGGTTTGAACAGATTTTCCCCCCAATCAATATGTTTCTCGGTTTTTTGTTGTTGAGAATATTCTCCAAAGTCGCTTTTGAAAAGATGTCAATTATTCAGCCCCTTCTCCATAATTACAATTATTTGAAACTAAAATCTGGGAATATATTAAATTACAGTTCTAACAGTTCTATTTCAACGCTCCTTGCTTTTGCCTTTTGTGCGAGTATGTTTTAATGAATTCTCTCATTTATATCTTTAAAAAATCCCAAAATACTAATTTATTCAAAATCTGTAATGACCATTCAGATTTTAATTCCTGTATTTCCTTATTCACCTCTTCAACAAAATCTTTATCCATACATAAACTACTGTTAAATTTCCAATATGATTTCCCCAAAACAAACTTATCAACCAAATCATTAAATTCTAGCCCAACGCCAGAATGATCTGGCGTAATAGATTTTTCAACACTACAAGGTATAAACCAATAATCTAAACGGCTTTGCACAACCGGCCAATTTTGTCGAAAAGTAAACTGCTTTACATTCGGAATTTTTTTCTCCATATATCTTCTAAATCGTATTTATTTAAAAATTCCTTAATCAAATCAATAACCCGAGATTTCACAGGTGTTTTTGACCCCACATAATTTTCCATCCAATATACTATTGAAATCACCTCCTAATAAAACTAAATAGTTCCGATCACATTGATCATCACTGAAAATAAGCATTAACCAATAGCATTTTAACCCTTTGTATTTCACCTTTAAAAATAATGTATCTCCCCTCTTCATCTACTTCAATTTTGTTTTCTTCAAAATCTAAATGATTAGAAAATAAAATAAGAACCCCTCTACTATGGTTTGACCCATGACTAAAAAACATTGGCCCTCCCCAATCTTGTTTCCACCGCTCTTCTATCTCTACTGTACTATATGTTCCTTGTAAGAAAATTATACTATTCTTTTTAGTTTTGCACCATTCAAAAATATTCACTCTTTTTAACCTATCTCTTATTCCTCTAACATTTAATGTCATGAAAGATAATTTCACTGCCATGTTATTTTGTGTGTAATTGTATCCAAAACCTTACATCCATAAACTCCAGCAAATGTATAGAAAAAACTATCTGCAGCCAAAAATACATGCATACTTATCGTCGAATTATATTTTAAAAGATGTAAGCAGACTCCACCCCGTACCACACAACCCACCACATTCATACACACAAGCATATTCACTACACATACAACATCCCCACACAAAACAACCCAAATCTGCTCTTCGGTATACACAATACGTATACATCCGAGAGCAAGAGCCTCCCCCTTTCCCTGTCAATTTAA